CATGGACGGCGTCACGTTCGGGTTCGAACTCAACGAGCAGCTATTGGGCGGCGGCACGCGCCGGCCGCGCTGCGAGCTGGCGCTGGGGGCGCTGGCGCGGCCGCGCTGCGACCTGGTGCGCGACGCGGCGGACGCGGTGGCGGTGCACGCGGGGCTGAGCGCGCTGCGCTACGTGCCGCCTGCGACGGCGCCGGACGCGGCCGCGCTGCTGCAGATCGTAGACTACGTGGGCGCGGCCTGGGACGACGTGCTGCGCTGCGGGGCCGGCAAGGTGCGCTACTACAGCGAGTAGGCCGCGCCGTCCCAACTCTGAGGAGATGGCGCCGAGTTGAGCGCGACCCGACGGTCGACGTAGATCGTCGCCCCGTCGATTCTCGCGAGTGTTCGAGCTACATTTTACTATAGAAAATTGATAAAAAACATAATATACAAAAGAAAAAAAAAACTGACACGAAGTTGAATCATTCCGCGGTGTCCTCGAGACAAATAACGTATGAGGTGCGGGTGAGATGACGATGCTAGTGTGATGTGCATCCACAATGGCCAAGTAAGGAGTGTAGTGTGAAGTGACGGACTCGTTGGAGGGATGCGTCGTGTATCGAGTGTAGGGCGGGCAGTGCAGTGGCGCGGCCTTGCTCTCTTAGTTGTACTGTGATGCGTAGATGCGACTGATCGATATCTCGTTAACTTTCAAATGAAGTGATTACACTATTAACCTTGGTGTTCTCGCTGTGGTTAAAGTAAATTTTATTTTGCTTAAGATAATGAAAAGTGGCAATAAGCATTTAACGGTTCAACTTGCACTTTAAAAATCTTTATTTGTTAAAGTAATTTAGAAGATGATGTAATTTTAGTTTGTGGTCTGGCGCGTGGTCTATTTTGCTGAATGTTACATAGAATGCAACATCATTGTGTGGGTGAGAGTCACGATTGCTTTATATTAATGGATATATCACTAAACAAGTGTTATTTGCATTTGCTGTATATTAAATATTAACACCCTGTCACCCTGCCCTGCTTTAAGTTTTAAATTATTTGTGTGAATGTACCAGATAGACATAACAGTTTGTATAATCCTTGACTGGACTAATAGCCAAGTACAAAATGGCCTGAGTGATTCTGTCAAAGATCTCAGTGCAGTGGTGATTGGTGAGTGTAGCGTGCAGCAGTATGTAGCGCTACTGCGGAGTCGCGGTCGCGGCCAGCAAGACGCGCCAGACGGACACTACTCATGTTTAGTTCCACTTGAAGAGGCATGTATTATTTTGTTTCTGTTGATTTTTATTATGCTTTTGTTATGCTGTAATCACAAATATTTGGCAGATTTTTCTAACTAGCCACTCAAGTCTATTTTGTTATATATTTTTAAGTTTTACCATTAGATACTACCTACTGTAAATAAAATAAAGATCTTATAAGAAGTAACTGGCATACTAGAGGCGGCGCGGCCACGCTTGGACATGCTCTTACTACGACTCAGTTTTATTTAAAGATCATATAATATGTAAGTAATGTAATATCACCTCCACTTGTGTGATTTATATTTGTCTCATATAATTCGAGTGTACATAAAATGTGAATTTCAATCTTTAGTAAGATCGTGACCAAGTGACATACTGCTTCTGTATGTAGATTTAACATCTAAATATTGTATACATATTGTGAGTATGTTATGTACATGCGATTACTAAAAACTATCGGACGGCGCACCCGTCGCCGACGTTAGCGTTGTTCATTTATTGTCATGCAAACTAATGTATGGCAAATTGAAATGGTTGACCAAACACTTGTAGTCATTAAGAAGTCATTCAAAATCACCGTAGTCTTGTGGATACTTGTTTACAGTAACGTAATTACACGTCCTAAGTTTAATATCTTATACTTAAACCAATTTAAAGAATCTGTGTACTTTGGGCACTCGAAAATATAAAAAAATGTATTGACTACTGTAGGAATCGTGTGATGAATGATATCATCGGTAAGAAAAATCATGGTTTATTTAAAGTATTCCAAACATAAAGTGAGAATTATTATAATTATTGTGTAAAATAGTCAATTTTACGAAAAGTCGCATTTACGTAACAAAGGATTAGTGTGATTGTTTATTTTTATACCAAAACATTGTCCATCATACCTTCTTGCTAGGGCCTGCGTGCATGACAACTCGCTGAATACATACTGATACATAATCCTGGTTGACTCGGGTCTGGTAGCATTATGTTTCTGTTGTGTTAAGCAGTAAATAAATTAAATGATAATAAGTGAGTAGGCATGCAAGCGAGCCTAACTGTAATTGCTTTGGGTCTTGGATCCAGAATATATTTGACATAAAACTAGTCGACAAGAAAACCTAAAAAAAAGTTTATATATATTCCTATGAAAAGTATGCGACTTAGGATAATATTATTCTTTTATGCATAAATAAGTAATGAGCATTTCTAATTTTACTGAGATATAAAATTAGTCTTGTATTGGCTTTTTACTGTACCTACAACTATATCAGGGTCCTTGGCATGCCTTCTTACATGGCATACATTTTAATAACTTTTACCTATGTAAGACTTTTTTCGCCAAGAGTGTCTGATTCATCAATTAATAATGTCATTGATAAAATTATTGATAAATGCCAACAAGCTCACATTACAGAAATTCTACGAAGATATCGGTAATCATGATCGTATTTTACTCCCCCAATTATTTGAGGATAATTACATCAGATTTTTCTAAGATATAGTGATTAAGATTAATTTGTGCTCAATTGTTTGATACCGTGGTTGCCTACTATGAGAAAGTGACAATGCATCCATGTATGTATTAAGAATTTCGAGGATTTTTAATAACTATCTTCATTGCAGAAATTGATTTCAATTTGAATATTATATAAGGTTCACTGCTTCAGTTGTTTGTACTAACCCTAATCAAACATAGGTAGAGGTATTTTCTATACAATGCAATCACTTGTCTATGTCTTCCATGTTGTATATGTAGCTATTCCTGTATTATCTGTCAGACAAGTTAGTACAAATTATGTCTAATGCAGAAGGATCTGGTGTAATTGAGTAATAACACTAATAACTATTATATGAGCCTAGGGCCCATTCAAATAAAAAGCTGAGATATCAAACTCATTTAGCTTTCTTTCATAAAATATACAAGTAGTCACTTATTTGGTTGGATGATTCGTCATTACATAAAATCAGTATGAACGGCCACAACATTGTAAATATAGTGTACATTAATTTCATTTTAATTTCAGAGAGATAATGTTTTAAATATTGTTGAGATTGATATCAATGTACTGAGAGGAAGCTCATATCAAAGGTATAGAAATTATTTATTATTTCTTTCCCTTGTAAAATATGTATATAGATATTCAGAAAATTATCGGATTTTATCGTTTTAGTGCATCCTAGACGTTGTAGATAAAAGATCTCTAAGTTGGATGTTGTGACTACACACGGAACAGACTTATGAAGGGGCGTGTCTCGGCCACTAGTCGCGCGCCCGCGCTACTGCATGTCCGCTGCGTCAGTTCACACTGGCCCTCGTCGACTGCTGTATTTATTGATTCTGGTATAAATATGTCATCGTTTACGTTTTTAACGTGCGAAGGAATTGCTGGTTGTCTCTCTTAAATTGCTCGACTCCTTGGCACAAGTTGATAAATTGACATATTAATGTACATAGAATCTGATGCTAGACCAGTGTCCCTGTTGGAATCGACGCAGCGGGGTGGTGCGCCATGCTAAGCGCTGTAGGCGTATGCCGCCCTAATAATATGTATTGCAATTACTATGCTGAAAACATAACCATTTATAATATTAATTTTATCGTATTTTAAAAGCTACTTGAATATTTTTTTATGCCAAGTATCTGGAGATCTAAAAATATACATAAGAGAATATAATTAAAGTATGGATGAGCTAAAATTAATTATCTTGAGCTGAAATATATGTAATTATTTTGTTTAGGTAATGGAGTGATATTGCTTAGGAAAGCTATTTGGCGAAGTGTAAATGTATAAATAAATTAATGCTGAAACATAAGTTTTTGTACGATTGTGTCATTTTCTGAATAAATATGTAATTTCTCACTGCAACTACCATTTTAATATCAGTTAAAATTTTTAGTTCCTGCTCCTTCCTGTAGCTCCCATGGAATAATTTTTGTTCAGAAAATGTGACAAACGTTCTGTATCATAATATGTACCAATATGAAAATTTTATTTATCTGCTTTGCATCTAACTGTTTAATAATTCTTCTAGGTTTTTACTCTATTCTTTACTTGAAACGACTTGGGCCTGTTTCACATTGATCGAGTGTCTGATAGCCTGACGGATACTTGCCGTATTTTCTACTGGAAATATGCTAACAGATACTTTAATCAGACATTGTGGTACAGGCCTTTAGTTTATTAAAAATTTAAAAGACGTCGTGGATGAAACTTGTACTTTTAATGCTCCCTTTAGAACGGGAAATTAGTAAAACTGGTGATCTCGGAGATAATTCAATCAATAGCTTCTAGTCGCATATGAAATTGTTGATTTCTGTGACCACAAATTGGGTATTACAACTACATAGTTTTAAACAAACCAATTGAAAAAATGGCGCATTTTTTGTGTGACATGTTGTACCTACGTGTTTTTCATCAGACAACGACGTCTTTTACATTTTATTACGTTGTCAGTTGGGCCCGATAATCGAGTAACCCTATTTTAATTCTTACAAAAAGTTAAAAGATTGTTTTCAATGTTAATTTTCATGGACAGTCGTGGCATTACCTTGTTTTTGGTCGATGTTTGCTACAAATGTATGATACTGGAGTGTGAGTTAATTTTACCTACATTAACTGTGTAGATGTTATATTGATTTAAAAGTTATTTAAGTGATTAAGGTTCTGTCCATGACTGTACTTTTGGTCTTTTGGTTAAGTTCAGGGCTATGAAAACGCGACAATGACTGTTCGCAACTCTCTCTTTATCATTGTTCCTTTGTAAATGTGAATAGAGTAAAAATTTAGTACCGATTTTAACTGTAAAAGATTTGTTTATAAACAATATTGTAACCAACTGCAATTTACAGTTATGTACTTTTTCACTGTTTCCGTTTTCTTAATAAAATGTTGAAAATACAAAATCTTTGTCTTATAATATATGGTAATCTAAATAATACATTATCCTATAATAAAAAGGCAATCAATACATTTTGTCAAATAGAGAAATGGGTGTTCTAAGACTGAGACATTTATACTTTTTGTTGAAATGTAGTTTCCTTGAAAAGAAACAAGATCTGTACAAATAAAAATAAATTCCCGTTTGTTAGTCTCGCTAAAACGGTCTTGAAATGTTCGTGGAAGTCCAGGGAAGGTTTAAAAAGTGAGAAACAAATTTATAGGCGTTACGAAGCTTGCCGAGCTAGTCTACATAGTCAGAGCCATCAGACCACCACGGATGGGGTCCAACAGGGTTGATGCCAATTTGGAGTCGCGGATAACCTAACGGGTTACCGGGGCTCCGGCTCGACGTGCAGGAGAAGGAACGGGGGGTTTTTAGTCAGTTAGAGTCGGAGGCGCGAGGGACTCACCCAGGCGGGAGCAGTCAGTCGATGATTTTCCCCCCTTAAAAAAAAAGTCTATAGGTACATATAATAAAACTAGCTTCTGCTAGCAGCTTCGCCCGCGATCCCAGGGGTAAAAAGTAGCCTAGTTTTATAATTATTCTAATGATACTCATTGTATAGAAATTCTTTATTGTGAAGTTAGCTTAGATTTACTCCAGAAATAGAATTGAAAGCAAAATTAAAGAAAAATTGGCATTGGTGAATATTAAGAACAAAATAAATATTCAGTGACATATTTTATTTTCATAATCAACATGATACAGATGTTTATGGCTTCGTATTCAAATATCATTCTATTATAATAAAAATATTAACAAATTATCTTACATCCACTTGAAAATGTACATTTGTAATAGACCTTACAAAATATTCTAGATCACTACAAGTTGATACCAAGAGGCGTAGCGCCCTCGTCAGCTCGCCGCGGTCACATTAGCGCCGCGTCGCCTGATATTAACTTGTGTTCATTTTTAACACTTACAATAAGGCATTAAAAGATACGTTTTACGACGCGACATTTTCTATTAGGACGTAAAGAGCTTCGTTTAATGCCCGCTAGACATTTGTCACTTTCTAGATTAGTAGCAATGAATAAATTTTATTGATTAAAGTTGAAACCTGTCCATTAGAAGCACCTGATTTTATATAATTTAATAATCACGTCTACTTATTAATTTTCTTGGCTTCTACAGAAGATAATATACAACTAAATTAAGACAATATTCCAGACCCGAAGTGGAACTAGTTAAAAGGAAATTTCATAATAGAATTCAGTTTGTAACTGATGAATAACCTTCGTTCCCAGTCCTAGACCATTTCATGAATACAACTCTTGGGTTCTTTATGTTTGGATTACAAGCACAAGTCAATGTTAGTCAGAACACTATGATAAGCCCGTTACTTTCGATTATGTGAGTGAAATACTTTCGTTGTTAGTTGTAATGAGAGAAGCCTCGAAACGTTCAACACATACGACCAAAAGCGGTGCTCACAAATGTCTAAGAGCTAACAACTTAACTATTAGGCCACGAGTCGCGTGGAAATTGAGATAGCGTCATAAATAATAATTATGTACACGTTAATCGTACGATAAACTAATTTTGAAAAATAACAATAAATAATAAAAACAACCACAGTTAATATGGAATGAGTAAAACTTCCAACGCATGTGATGGCATAAACGAAAATGACGTTAGCCTAGAGCGACACTGACGACTGAGACTCGATCCGGTGACACGTCTCCCACCGAGAGCGAAGGCGCCGGCTAGAAGATGTCGGGGCAGGCGCTCCAGTCCTGGCGCCGCTTGCAGTCCCAGTAGCGGTGCGTGTACAGGTGGCGCAAGTGTTGCTGGCCCTGCGTCGACAGCGCCTGGCGCGAGAACCACAGCGGCCGCGGCCCCGCCGGCGCCGGCGCGCCGCCTGCCGCCGCTTCCTCGGCCGCCGCCTCCAGCTCGCGCCGCTTGGCGCGCTGCTTCTCCTCAAGTCGGAGTTTTTCCGTGTTGGCCTCGTCCCACAGCCCCTCTTCCATGAGGCGTTGATCGGGGCGGCGCCGCGAGTCGGTGGGTGCCACACCCTCCTCAAACTCGTTGAGCTGCGCGGCCAGTACCGTGAAATTGTACCACTTGTCGGAGTCTGGCGGCGCGGCGACGCGCTCCCAGGCGACGGTAAACTTGCCAGTCTTGCAGACCGTGTTGTCGGCCGACGTGCTGGTGACGGGCGCCACCTCCACGCGACTGTCCCAGTGTCCCTGTAGCACGTAGCGCGGCTGCAACAAAACAAATACATTTACTTATATTTTAACAACGAGTGGAATGCGTGAAGTGAAACCACTAATTTTTGGTGTCATTTCGGCTGTGAGATGATTTATAAGCAAACAATACTAACCACTCCCTGTGGGTCCTTGATAACGCCGGTAACCTTCCTCTGCGTGTCCTTGCTGAAGTATCCGTAGGGCAGGTACTTGAGATGCGCCACGTATCCCGCGGCGGGCCCCGACTCGCCCACGATGTCCATATCACCGTGGTTGTCCACCCACAACTTGCCTACTATTATATTGTGCACTGTTGTCGTCACCTAGAAAGTTTAATGAACATACAATATCTGGTTTGATGACCTTATTATTACACTTTGTACAGCACAGTTGAAAATGATGACAGTCAAACCTCCACTACAATTAGGGTTAAAGGTCAATTTCTAACTCCAGTTCAAGAATTACTGTGTTTAGTCTTCAATATAAACAAATACTGTCAGTTACTGTAATTGGGTTTACCGCCGTTGTGTCTGTTTAAAAATAAATAAATAGTGTGTGTATATATAAATGGTTTCTATGTGTTTATTGTAAAGTTATCGCATATATCTCATAATCTATCGCATTTTGTAAAGTAAAAATTAAAATAAATAAGTAAAAATGTATCAAAGATCACAAGGTGAGCATGAAATGTGGAGTGCTACAGCTACAGTAGTTGAGGTGCAAGAAATGCTACCTTTTTCCAATAGTAGGAGCTATTGTCGGGGAAGCAAATATTGGACTCTGCTTCAGGGTCTACCGTGATGAACTGTCCGCGGAAGCGGCTGGTGACGGAGATGTCCTGGCGACAGTGCCAGCCCGCCGCGCCCTCGCAGTGCTGCGCCGAGCGAGGCGGGTGGTGCGACACCTGCACTCGCGCACTCTCTGCACTGTCTACCACACCCGCTACACGCGTGACGCAATATATTGGGGCAACAAGTCATATTGCGTCACGCTGCGGATGTCGAGTGCCTATCGCCTCCCACCCCGGCCCGTGTGGTGCGTACCTTTCTCCAAGTGTATTTGTTTCCAGAGCTAGGGAACATGGCGGACGCGCCCCCTAGCGGTATGACCTGAAGGTATTTCCCCCTAAACTTGGTGGTCATGGTGAACTCCTGCCAGCACTGCCAACCCGCTTGCCCCTCGCAGAACTGCGCTACCATCGGTGGATGATGGGAAACCTGACCACAAACAATTTTGAATTTAACATTTTGAAAGGCCAAAATATAGCAAAAGTTGTTTTAAAGGCTGGTGCTGGAGGGAAATGTGGAGGAAAGGTAGGGGAAGGGGTGGGGAGACTTGGGTAAATTAGGACAAAATCAATCAATTAGAAAATATGGGTGTAAATATTGGTCAATCAACATGGTGTGATGCACATGCGATAGAGAAAACTGCACATTGAATAGGAATATAGTTATAGGAAAACAGGATCACTACGTGGCATCGCGTGTGCTAAACCCAGAACTCGAAACAACGCAATCAAAGTTACGTTTGTTCTATTAACAAATGAGAACATGATCTACTTGCCTGCTCGGATATAGCTCGCCAGCCGAGGTCCGCCATGCGGTCACATTCATATGTCTCGCCCAGCAACGGATTGAAAGGCTTGTTTGTTCTGAAACAATAGAATTCAGTTTTAATGTTGCTGTTCTTATAATTTAGCAGTAAATAAATATTTCTAACGCCACCACTATTTTGTTCTGTTACGAATGGAGTTTCTTGCTCGTTCTTCTCCATTCGAATTTACATTTTGGAATGAGCTTCACCTAATTTCACTGACGGACTGACTGACAGACTATTATTTATTTTGTATTTGTTGTCGTTTCAAAAGTACCAAACTATGGTTTAATTGAAATAAATGCTTTGACTTTGTTACATTTTGTAAGAATCTCTATGTTCTATGAAGAACAAAATATGAGAGTTACCAAATCATCAAAATTGATGAAAAAATATTTTTGGTTATGCCTTATATATTACATTTCTTTAAGTACATAATTTAGTAACATGACAGTTAATAAAGATTAGAAAAAAGTTAATAGTTCCTACCTGCAAGCAGTAGTTGCGTACGACGAGACGGTAAATGCGGCGACGTATGCGAGCTGTTGCGCGGGGTCACTGAATTTGGCGGCCTGGTCCAGGATGGACGAATACTCGTAGTCCTCCGTCAGTCGCTGCAGCATTGACAGCGGCTCGCTGAAGTTTACCGGGATCGGGATCTTTGATAACTCCTTGCCTGTTTACATTATATTTATATGATTCTCTGAAGAACTACAAGACATAGGACATAGGTAAAGCTAAAGAGGTTATAATTTTTCTAGGGTACAAACCCTAACCTGACCTAGTGCATTAAAAGGAATATTTGTTTTAACTCGTCGAGTACCGGTTTTGTAGACACAATTATAGAACAATAGGTTGCGGTCACCGGTGACCGCTTGGTGTTCGACAGTTTAAACGATGCCCCACACTAGGATTTCCTCCTATGTCGTGGGTGCGTTTACAAACATACAACTTCATATACACATGACACCCAGACTGAGGATCACACAAATAGTTGTCCCGTGCGGGAATCGAAACCACGACACGTTACGTGGCAGCCAGTTACCCAGCCACCGCGCCAACTATGCACTCGATCTTCGTTTCGATGTTATTGCTAACCTAAACCATACATACCACAACTTGATACCCTCAAAAGTTTCAATTGTATTGTATCAATCAGTCACTCTGTAACGGATATACTGATAAAACCCTTCCATTTGTCATTTAGTTACAAGAATCTTTTACTTTTAAAATATATACTTTACTGTTTGATGATAATTAAATTGAAATAGTTTGATAATGTGGACTTGAAGCAATTGACAGCAGTTACATTATGGATCCAGCAATGATAAATGATCATATTATATACCTATGCAATTCTTCATGATAGACCAAAGACTGAGCGGGTAGTTGGGTTTGTCAGGCACCCGCGTCCGCCGAGGGTGGCCGTCGATCGGGACTGTCTGCGCCGCCACCACGTGCGGCTGCAAATATTCATTATGAAGTTCATATTATTACGTTAAATCATGATTTTGGGGAGTTCAGTGGTACATGGTGATTACACAAACATATTTAGGTATTTATTTATCCTTATAAAAATACACAACATAACAGTGTTTGTACTTGTATGATTCGAGTTATATATATGCAGGATTGTAAAATATTTCAGTTATTATTTAATTAGCAACACCAATAGCGCTGTATTTAGAAAATCATTTGATCCTAAAAGGAAAACCTAGTGAATTAGCCCACGTAGTACTCGAGCGTCATATAATAATTTGATTAGCTGTTCGAGTGACTACATTCTTTCTCAGGTCAATTGGCACTTTCGTCGGCATTGGTATTAATATGCCAATGCATTCTATAAATAACTTTTTGAGAGCGCATTTGTAGATAGTCCTCATTATAAGTATTATAATTTAAATTACAAATGAAATATATAAAATTGAATATAAGTACAAATAACTTTTAATTGTAAAGAGCTGATTACTATTTATTATTGTAAACTTTATCAATATTTATTTAATGTTTTGTGTGCATACAATTGATACAGAAATGGTCCGTATTATTATTAGAAAATACTTCCAAGTAACAGAATATAAACCTCTCTAAAAAGTCACAGTTTTGTAGAAATAAAAACCTGCTAACTTACCCATACTACAATGTCTTGTGTTTTAGGCACTATGGCTTCACCTTCGGCGGTGCTCTCAGCTTCCGTACCGCCCATTGCACTCTCCGTTCGCTCTTTATCTTCCACGAAAATTACCTTCAAATAACAATAAACTTACAATTAGTCGTACATACTAGCATTTTTTAAACTACAATGAAAAGAGTCTCAAGGTCTCTTTGTAGAATTATTGTTCTCATAAAAGCTTTTTGTTGCTATATCAGATTGTTATTTAATTAGCTGGCATTTCTAGTTGTTAGACTAGTATTTTCAATAACAATACCTATCAGAACATTTTTATTGAATATAAATGTATAACTGTGCATTTTCTAAAGATGTATACATTAGTGCAAAGTTTACCACATTTAAGTTTTTTATTGACACCAGCTGGGTCTGGTTTCTGTAAATTCAATTAGAAAACCAGTCTTTAAATTATTCAATTTAGTTGTATACAAATCCAATACTTGACTTAGAATGACTAGCGCCATTAGTCTTTTAAGACTTTTACCGATTTCGCCAGCAATGCTTAAGTTATTTACATATATCTTGTATTTATAGAATACAAATACTCTAATTTACTTCAGAAAATATCTGTAGTCTAGCTAATTTGAAGTAATTTGCAATTCAAGCGCACATTATCAGTCGACAGACCGTGAAACTAACGTAATATGTTAACAACATAATTAAACAATTACTATTGCTTCTTGAAAATGAAACTATATAGTAGATATATAGTGTAAAACTGTTGTCAAAAAAAAAGAAATGAAACAATGTGAATATCTAATGCTCTTAATTTGCTCAGTATGAGAAGAGTAGTAGGACAGCTTAGGTTGATATTTTTGTTTATTATTCAGCCTTCTGGGCACTTTCCCTATTGACGTCGATGCGGACGAATTTTTTGATGCTCTCTGTAAATAGTCATTTTTAGTTTTCTTTTATTTAATATTTCTAATAATTGTAGCGTATCTTAAGCTGTACATATTTTTTTTCCTTTCCTTATATTATTTCAAAAGATTCGACTTATACGTGGCTAGTAACAAGGAGCCTAACTAAATTTTCATGATCAACAAACAATAACTCCCAAATGGTCAGCAACACATTAGTGGTACCATAGAGCCAAGATGAGAGAGATTGGTAACCTGTAAGAGCTGTAGAAACAGAGAATAGTGTAAAGAAATGAAGAATGAACTGACCTGTTGAGTCTCAGTAACGGATTCACCCTCAGACTCATCTGAACTTTCACCGCTTTTTACTTTGTTTTTCCTATTTACCTGTAAATTCACACACAAAACAATGAACAACGACCATGAAACTCAATATCCGCCCTCACATTATAGTGATGACTAATATGAATAGTTTTATGTACACTGATCTCTTGGGACACAATAAATGATGTTAGTTCAACTTATCAGTCACTTCTACATAGTATAATTAGTACTAAATATATATATATATATATATATTAAAACTAAACAATTAATGTTGTGTTAAGATCCATGTGCAAGATTAGATAACAGTTACAAAGTATATGTTGGTATACAAATACAGATAATAAAATCATGTTGACATACAGTTTCAAGTTGTGTTCATGTTTTATCATGCAAGCTAGTTTTGTATTTAAATAATATTAGTTTGACTTTGCTCCTCTCTAATAACAAAGAGTAAAAACAATATGCATTTGGTATTGATGAGTCATGTTGTATTCTGAGGTTAAATGTAAGTAGAGGACTTACGGGCACTTTAATCACAAAGGAATTTGTGTCTTCCATGTTTGTGGAGACTCCCTCTTCCACAGCATCAAAGAACTCATGATCCTCATCCTCAGTCTCGTTGCCTTGTCCGGAGCCGTTCCCCCCTGCACACAAGATATACTTTTATAGGAAGAAAAATCAACTTCCTCATAAATTGTTAAGTGACATATTGTTTTAACCATTTTACCCTAATACACAAGTTTACACAATACTAAGGAAATATATTAGACATTATTTTTATCTTTTCCTTCAGTTACTGTATGGTACACAGCAATTAAATGCGAGTTCATATTTTAAATTAAAGCAACAAATCGTTAATATTTCCTCTGCTCTAAATACTTATCTAATAGTTATAATGGAGTTGACTAATATGCTAAACAATCAATCTAATTACAATGATGACTAATAATTCTTAAACATTTGTTCCATAAAGATCTATCAAAATATTAATTTAAGTCTAACTAACTCAACCGGAATAACAGATTCTATGTAAGCTAAAGAGTATGAATATAAATGACTCCACAAAAACAAATGTTATGTGTGTCAGTAAGTAAATACAGCAATTTACATAAAACATGTTGCAAACAAAAGAATTGTGTGACAATATTTCTATAACACCAAAAGCAACAAACAAATACATCACTTTGATTATTCCTTGTTGAAAAAAAAGTATCGCATAAATAATTAAAGCACCATTGTAATACATAAGTCATTTCTTTCTTGCATCAACCATAAAATTTTTACCTACAACGAAAAAAAACACTATTATACAGTAAACATGCAATAATTGATCATACCATGCATTGATACTTATTGTGAACCAATTTATTTATGCTTTAACATGTCTCACTCTCACCACACCTGTAGAAAATTTACAAACACCAAGTTAGTGGTGCGTAGCCAGTGGCCAGTGTAGCAGTTATCAAATACAACACTATATTACTAAACATCTTGTACTAAACTTGCTTCTGCCAATATTTATTCAGTAAGCACAGTCAAACGTTTCAACAGTTGGGTCTATTCTAACTGCGAGTGATTACATACATGACAGTGTATAATGGTCGTTTCTTTACTAACAACCCCATGAAATCAACTGGAAAGCATTCAGTGATGAGGTGTTTTCCTTATTATTTTATTCCACTTACCGCCCATACTGTTGTATTGTTATGGAGAATTCAATTTATCATTGCTTTAAACCTAACAAGACTAATAAATAACGCAAAGCTAATACAAGGCCAAGATCACAATAGACGCGTACATCAAAATGACTTTGTTATTACCAGGCAGGTCTAACACAATACTGCACTGCCGAACGACCACACTTTAGTCGCGACACACGTTAATTAAATAAACGAGTAGAGAACAACCAATTACAAACTGTAATACGTTCAACTGAAAAACAACAACCTTGAAAATCACCAAAAAATCTGTCTACAATAGTATGACAATTAAATCGTTTCACAAAAGTGCACTTCTACATACCGAAACAAGGTAGTTACTTTAAAAATGTATATTCATTTTTTTGTTTTGTGTCACACACACTTCTTGATGGAATATTTAATTTCGAATGAAATTATTTCTAATTTTTTTAACCCGAAACGCAAAATTCTTTTCGATTTTTCATCCGTCACGAATGACACGTTCCGTTTCACGTCGGAATCCGAACGGAAGTGCTACAATTCATTCATTCATTCCAACTACCTTCACGTAGTATTTCTAGGTTGGCAACTGTAGGAAGTTCGTTCTGAAACGTTCATTGGCGACTGATTTACTGACAGATTTATTATTAACGAACCTATTTTCTAACGAGAATTCGGTTACCTACCTCATTAATTAGAGGAGACATAAATTCTGGCTTTTCAATTTCCCGCCAACTCCAAAGTAATAGCTATCTCCTAACCGTTTCATTTACGATTTCCGCAACAGGCATAAAAAGCATACCTACAGCACCTGCAACATCTATCTGTGATGTCATATCTAATCTTATAGATAATTCTAATAAGAAAGGAATTACCTTACCGTAGTCTATATGACAACTGGTACTATAGATAACTTTATCTCTAAATGTATCTTGCGTCATTTTTTTATTCTCATCTAGGTATAATTTAATTCTGTTAATTTTTGCAAAAATAAAATTAGTCATTAAAGTTTTTGTTGTGTGGGTAGGTACTTAAAAAAACCTCAAAAATAAACAGTAATACAAATTCAAAATGAAATCTATACTGTTTAACTTAAAAAAATAGAGGAATTAGTAGTGAATCTAATTGATCCTCTAGGTATCAATTATTGGAACTACATACTTTCAAAAAATTGTTGTATTGGTTTTCAACACAAACATGCATGTAAAGATATATTAACAGTAGTCCTCGTAAGACCATGTTAGATTATAATTCAATAAAAATTGAGGTCAATAAAGATCATTTCACTCTAAGATTGGTTAATAATTTTCAGCACATGTCAATCGGGAGGTCAAGGCAGCGAATCAAGCGCGTCAATTTATGTTTCAAACATAACACAGTTAATGTAGTGTATGTGGGTATCAGTGGCGTGCACAGGGTTTTAGAACAGGGTAGGCAACATAATATTGTATTATGATTAAACTCATCGTAAATACATAACATAATTCAACTTATGAGGTTTTTAATCTTTCGTCAATTCTTTGTAACAGTGCCATCTCTCGTTGTTTTCGTGAAGTATTACATCAACTTATTGATTACTCTAACAACTTAAAAACATTAATATTCTATTTTTCTCTTTAGATTTGTAAAACTAATCTGCATAATTACCTACTCGAGGTGCTGTATAACGATTAATCTAATTTATGTTATCAATTCAGTAGCAGTAACGAATTGTTCATTCTAAAAATTGTACTGAACTGGCGGCCTGTCCAGCCTTCTCACGTTTAATACAAGAATATTACGAATTCTTTACTCTTTTAATTTAATTCTTCGAATTAATAAGTTTGGTTCATCTATTCAAGAGATATTATGATTTTAAGAACTTGGGTATGACTAATAGAAAAATCGAACCGAGCGCGGCCGGCTGCGGCCGAGCCGAGTAAGCGGTAGTACATTTTTTAGTATTATTAAACATTCATTTACCTAGCTTATTCTTCTTCATTTCATTTTATAATTAGTACATAACATATTACTTAAAGCTTCGTTATTTTTACTGACTGAGTTGCCGCGACGGGAAGCTCCGCGTAGGTACCTACTTATGTTACATAACCTAATCACATTAAAATAAAGTAACTTTCATAGAACTTACCAAGACAAGACTATCAGAAGAAAAACTCACACACAATCTAATCACTAAGCGATGGTCTGCGATAGTTTATAATTCTTTACCAACTTTTGTCAATACAAACTTCACAGTTCTTCGTATAACTTTGCAAAATCAATTAACAAATAAACAAACACAGTAATAAAATGTACTTATATAAATAGACAATTTTATACCGTTTACTACAAATTATTTGCGTAGAATTACTAATCGTATTCTAAATCAAATAACAAAATTATCCGAAAATCCACGCATCGCACGTAAACAAAAACAAAAAAATTGTCACGCGCGAGCGGCGTGAAGTTCGCTGCGAGGCGACCAATGAGTAAACCAAGACACGGAACGTGATTGGTCGGCTCGCGGCGAACTTCAATCACGAGTCGTCAGGCCGTGCCTGCAGGCAAGCTTCGCGACGATAAAATAAACGCGTCTGTGCACTACGCACACAATGACGTTCACCACTACACGCTTAAATTTATGAATGGTTTGCAGGCGACAGAACCGCGTGCCTGCCTCGCGCGTTAATGTTTACAGCTATATACGGTACGCCTGGCGAAATGCAACACGTATCGCGCGCCATCATTGTTGCTATACTATTTATTTTAGGCGTTCACTAATTTTATTATAATTATTATTTTAGTATTCTGTAGTAAAATTAAAATGTTTATATCTTTTATTAAGTAGTGTTATTCACGGTATTTGTAAGGTAGGCAAAGCCTTTTTGCCTATATGGACTGCACGCCACTGGTGGGTATTCATATATTCTATACTCATCTCCAATGACATATGTAATATTACGTAGATAATAAATAGAGCACGCATACTTCTGTACTGTAGGGTCAGTCCATTGTCGACCGGCACGCAGGGCGGTAGTGCGGACACCAACCCATCACTAATATGTATGTGGTATTACGTGTTGTACACATTGCCATAACTGAGTGCCGGAGCATTAATATATTACGGTCGAATACTACAAAATAGGGACGATGAAAAAGAGAAATATAGCCAGACATGATTCCATTTTCCATTTCATAAAATATCGTTTAGTTGGGTCATTCTACATTACAAGACGCCAAGTAAAACGTAAAGACTTAACTTTAATGAAACAAATTGCAGATATAGTCAATAATTCATCTTTTACGTTTAGACACGGGAAAGACGACGAATGATTACAAGGACGTTTTTTAGTATACACAGTAAAACTGCAGTTCCAAAAGTTCATAATAAACCTTAAATATTAGTGTGATGCTGTAGTACATTGATCATGACTACGATCAAATCTCATCATGTCAAAATTGCGAAAAAGCAGAAGATAAAATACATATAAAATCCACTTACTTGCATAGAAGAAATATCAGCTCCATTTTACCCTAAACTACCACCAAAACTTTTTTATAATTAATCTTACCTGGTTGAGAGGTACTACGCGCAGTCACAGTCTTCTCCAGGTTGTCGTGCTGCCTGGCGAGCTGTTCCACAACTTCCTGCAGCCTCATCTTCTGCTCACGTTCATGTTGCAGCGCACGACTCATACGCGCACTCGACGCCGCCGCTGCACTCATGAACTCTGAACAGGCCTAATAAAAATAATAACTTTCATTGAGGTATATTACTAATACCTATTGTTCTTTATCAATGAAAATGTGAAAATCAGTAAGGATATTTTGTCTAAACTTTTATAAGTCTAAAATTTTTCAGTAGTTACCTACTTATTTTTAAATTATTATTTATCTTATGACATGGTCAACTCAAAACACATTTGGATGTTCCTTATTTTCTTGGTCGGAAATGTTTGCTTTGTAGATTTATCAGAAGAAAATAACTATTAGATATTTTACTTCATAAACAAATATGAGTAAACTTACATTCATCATAGCATTGCATGATATCCTAAATAATGTCGCTCGTTCTGAGACTTGTTTTGTAGTGTCTGTAGGTGGAGTCTCCATGTCAACGAGAGACCTCTGTAAAGCTGCGCCATGCCTTGCTACAAGTTCGGAACACGTTCGTAAGTCGTGGAACCTAGCTGCTAGTTCTCTCGCTATCCCTCCCGCATCTTCTCCTTCACCCTCTCCACTACCCACAACCACACCAATGTCTGTCGACATCTGATCTTCATCATCATCAGACTCTTGAGCCCGACTGTTGAGAAATAAAAGGTATATTTTAGTAACTCATACTCTCATACATACATATTTTTGAAGGAAGAAAAACTGTTTTATTTATGCCTAAAATTAATTTAATTAGTATGTCCTTATTGAAACTTTAACTTGTTGAGTACCGTCATTATAGACACAATTACAGAACAATAGGTTGCGGTCACCGGTGACTGCTTGGTGTTTGACAGTTTAATAGCTCAATATTAACTCTATTTTATGTGAAATAAACTTTGATCTGTTATTTTTATGGCATTTCTGTATGAAGGACTACTTTTATTTTACTTTATCTAGGCAAGCAGTTGAAACGAGTGATATTTAGTTGACGCCTGCATCATATTTTTTTCTATTAGTATTTAACATGATTGGCCAATTTTTTTTTTAAATACTTACATTGCCTTTGCTTTAGCCAATTCCAGTGCAGTCACCCAACTTTGTCTTTCTACTTCATCATGAGCTCTGATATGGAAGGTCTGAGTACCTCCATTACTAATAACAAATGTACAAGAGTCTGCGGTGTGGATGAGAGCTCCTAGCAGGGATATAGTGCCCCGACATGTATGAGCCATCTCGGCTTGATTTCTGAAACGATTAATAAAACATTAACAATTGTGGAAAGTTTTTTTACATTGATATTGTGAATATGAAGGTAGATAAAACATCATGGTCATTTTCAAGTAATCTTGTAATATAGCGGGCAAAATTCTAGCACCTACGCTACCAGGGATATGACAAACTATGTTTTTTAGTAAACTTTCATAGTTTATTTTTACATCAGCGTTATTGATGATTGACTATTGGTGTTTTGACTGTAACAGCATTCTCTACCTTTCTTATATGTATGAATGTTTTTAATCAGTTCAGGAATAATTAGTTGTTTCACTTTCAGTATTTAATGGAAAAAAAATGCAATTTGATCTAACACAATTTTTATTACTTTATAATCAGGTATAGTTTTTATGTGTCATGCCAATTAAACATTGATTAAGTATATCTATTGAAGGTCAAATCTAACAACCTAAACAAATAGTTTTATGATATTACTTAAATTATTTAAATTATGTAACACCAAGAGATGAATTTCTGTGAAGCATCAGTTAGACTAAGATAATGATGTAAGATGACTGTGAAATCTGTCTAATTAGTACACATTAACAAGCTAAATATATGGCATGGTAGTGTCTAACAGCCAACATAGTGCCATTCAATGGAACAAGAACAAAAACTTGTTCACCTTGAAATATAATAACATAGTAGACTTTTTCTAATAGGAAAATACTTCATATTATAATATCTTATCTTGTTATTTTAATGTAAGATGCTTGAGGCAAGCCAAAATTTTCATCAAGGTATATGCTGGTTCCACACATCTCATCAAGGATTAAAATAAAATCGTCAAGTGATTTTTATCATAACATAGAGTAGCAATAAGAATTCCAGTTTAAAATCATTGTACAAATCAAAAATGAAAACAATAGCAGCCTGCTGTGCTAGTTAGTCATCAATATTATCTCATCAAACATGTTGTGTGATCATGTACCATGTCTGACAGAACTACTGCAACCAACAAAAATTGTACAACTTATCTAGTGTCACTGTCACCACTAAAATAATATACTACTCATGAACATTATTATAAACTATTTTAAATAAAAAATCTTTATCATATCCCATTAATTACCTTTTTAAATGAAAAGAAACTATTGTTTTGATAATACATTTTGGGTTTCTGAAAAATCAAATTCGAATACCGCAAAAACACTGCGTCATACCAGAAAAACTTGTCTAACCTCTTGGTGGGTGAAAACTAAGTGCTTCTAGATATCGTCCAATAAGATTATGATAATCGGAAGGTACCAATAAGATTATAATCACTAATTTACCTGTAATACGACAACAGTCCATTCGACAACACGAACCATCTTCGCTGATAACCCTTCAAATAATTTGTCCACTTGAATAGCCAGCCTTTTTTTTCGGGATCCCCAGGTATTGGCTGACCCTTGGCTACGATAGTCTCCGACATTTTTTCTTATTATCACAATTTTAAATTAGAAAAACATAGTAGGTACAATATTTCTCTACCAGCCACGTCTGTCGTCGATCCAACATTCCAACAGCAATCAAGTTCGTTCATTCACAGACAATGAATTCAACTAAAACGAACTAAGATATTTGTCATGTTTGTCGTTCAATTTGTTTCTGGAAAAACATAAGAGGGCGTTATGAGGAAAGGAACTAAAACGTCTACAAATACAAAATAAATTAATAATATAAAATTAGTAAACATAATTAATATTGCCACATATTCGTGAACTTCGGACTCCCAATTCGTAAGAAACCTCGAAAATGCGCTACTACAACAAACGTCAAAGAAACAAGATAAGATAAAAAAATACCATCTCTGTAATATCAACCTTAATTTTTATTCCCAATATTTTTAATCTTCATCTATTGTGAAGTTAATATAAGATTCTTCTTATCATTCTTATTTTGATTGGCAGCACATAAAATTGACCGATCTTTCATTCGTAATTCGTTCACTAATTGACAGTTGAAATAAAAAAATGGTACTGTTTCTCCGCAAAAGTTACGGTTTGGTCAACAAGGTTGCAAGTCGGTTTGTCCAAGGTAAACCTTTCACGGTTCAAATATTTTCTGATAAATGTCCTACAAGTTATTGTGCCATATAAACTTTATATAGTAAATTTGGGAACAGTGTGATTGTTTTATAATTTTATCGATAATTATTAATTTATTTTAAGTTATACATTTTTTACCGTTTTTTTAATATTGTTCAAGGCAGTTTTTTGTCCAGCACAATGGGCAGCTCATATTCAAGATCCTACTCCCCTAACAGCGGACAATGTCCACCAGACCCCGAAAACCGTAAGTACCTATGTATTTAATATTTATTCTTAAATTATATTTCTAAACCGTATGTATTAAATTTAAAAAATGCATTTAATAATTCACTATTGTACCTTCTGTTATTATCTTAATAATTATACTGTTATTACGATGTTACAGTCAATTAATAAAAACAAAATACAATACAACATTTAAATAACATAACAATTTAACGATGGCATTTAATTAACTGGAATCATATATAAATTATATCACTTAGACATTATGATGGAGCCTATATTAAAATCATATATATAAGTTGTGAAATATATGTATTAAAGTATTTTAAAATATTTTTATAGATATAATTTTTTTTATTTAAAAAAACTTACTAATTCTATTTTTGTTTATTTATAAATTTATCAATAATTAGATATTTTATGGTCATTATTGTAATAGGTGCAACTAATAAGAATAAAAAATTTAACCTGAATATAATAGAATATATATATAAACTTTTACCACTAGACCTGAAATTTAGTCAATTTGAAATTATTAACAAAATATTTTACTACATAAAATTATAATGTCTGGACAGCCTTATCATGTTAGGTAATTTCTTCCGGATAATCTTTTTATGAAATGATTACACATATGAGGCAAATGGGGTTGTTAAGTATACAATAATTTATCATGTTGTACTACATACCTACTAACATAGTAAACCTACCTGTTATATTCATTAAAATAAATGTAGTTATAACAAAATCAATAGAATAGAATATGTGTGCATACAAGCACATAAGGCATGCAATAAAAAATATTATTGGTTGTGCCTGCCAACTTTTTGATATTTGTTGTTAAAAGCTTTTGGGGTCAATAACATTTTTTTTATTCAAATGTTTTAGTTTCCTGTTGTCATGGTAACGAGTTACAAACATTGACCCTGACTAAAAATATATGTGACCTCTACATGGCACCATGCCAATGGTAAAGCGACGCGAGCGACACAGCCACCTTATATTTCCAAGCGTGAAACAGCACATTTTGTATTTCTTAAAACGTTTTTTCTTGTAATCAGGTGGCACAATATCGCGCATGGAGTCCAGCACGAATTACGTTGAGTCCGTAGTCTGCAATGAAAATGACCTGAAGGAAAATGAAATGAAAGTTTTCGACATTGGAGAAGAAGGGAAAGTATTGCTTGTGAAGCAAAAGGGTGAATTTAGCGCAGTGGGCACCACGTGTACTCATTATGGCGCACCACTCGTGTCTGGTGCTTTAGGAGACGGAAGAATTCGCTGCCCATGGCACGGAGCCTGCTTCAACATAAAAACTGGAGACATTGAAGACTTCCCTGGCTTCGATTCGCTGCCTTGCTACCAAGTTACTGTAACGGAAAAGGGAGAAGTCAAGGTAAGGAACACGTTAACAATCAACAATACCTAGTTGGTGTGCATTTGTGCAACAGGTCGCCGTGTTGTAAAACTAAAAAGAATACGTCATTACGTCATTATCACGTCTGTTTGTCTAAAACATAATACGTTCCCTATCTATGTTTCGGCAATAATACGCACAAATCCATGGGAAATCATTATTATTACAGTGAATACAAAAGAAATCATAAATTATTAGGGACATTCGTTATCGTCTGCCTATCGTTGCAGTCAGTAACTGGCACCATTCTTTTATTAATAATACTAGCTTTCACCCGCGGCTTCGCTCGCGTCACAAAAGGATAAAAAGTAGCCTATGTGACATATACCAATATATACAGCGCCATCTATATCAATACTTTTGTTTTTCCGCGGGAATATCAATTTTTTCCGGGATAAAAAGTACCCTATTATTTAATCCGGACTTCTCTAACTTTACGTCTGCAAAAATTCAAAGCAATCGGTTCAGTAGTTACGGCGTGAAAGTGGAACAGACAAACAAACTCACTTTCCGATTTATAATATTAGTAAGGATTAACTAAAAAAACAGATGGTGAGATCTATGTCGCGCAGATGTCGTGGTCACCGGCCCTCCAAAGTTAGGTGGAGGTTGCAACGCCCGAGCGGAGCGAAATAGAGGTCAAGCCGGGTCGCATGATCAATAAACAATTAGCGTTTCACTTACATGACAACGCGAAGATTGTAAAAAACACTGTTTGTCTACTTCATGTTCAAAAACCTATGAAACCGAGATATCACAAAATCTTATAATAATGTGATGAAATACCAGTTACTCTTAGTACGCAATATTTAACAAGGTGTGAATTGAATGAGTCTTCATGATATTCTATTCAAGCATTTGTCATCTTATCTCCTGATTTGTCAGACTGTAGATCAATTTTGATTTTAAGTTTCTTACTTTTGAGGGTGTCATCTTATAGTGAAACATTTAAAATACATCATGAAGATAAATAGTTCGTTACCAACTGGTTAGGACGGACGGCTTTTTTTTAAGGGCGGATAATCATCGAACGACTTCTCCCGCCTGTGTGAGGCGGGAGGGAGTGTCAGACTCTTACTGACTAAAAACGACCCCGTTCCTACTCCTGCGCTTCGAGCCGGAGCCCCGGTAACCCGTTAGGTTCTCCGCGGCTCCGTATCGGCATCAGCCCTATTGGGGCCCATCCGTGGTGGTCTGATGGCTCTTTGCGGCGCGCCTTGAGCTCGGGTCTGGTCGGGCGGCGAGCCACCCATGTTCGCCGTCCGCAGGCCAGCGCTTACTGTGGCCGGAGATCGTCCCGCGATCCCCGACGGCCGGAGTGTCCTTCGCGATGGCTGCGTTGTGAGGCGGCAGCGCTTCGCTGACTCACGCGCCCCGCCTTCTCCTTGGCTAGCATGACTGCTTCGCAAAAGGAGGAGACGGCATCCCAGTCCCCCGCAATCCGCATCATGATCCGCTTAAGGGCCGGACGCGAGAGGTTGCCACCGTCGATCACGTCCCCGAGGGTACGGCAGTACTCAGCCCATGCAGGGCATTCCCCTACTGTGTTTTCCACTGTGTCCTCACGGCGGCCACAGCCATAGCTTTATACTTCGTTCGTTCGATAGTTTGTTAAATTAATTCTTGATCGTTCCCTTCTATCTATCTATATTATCTATTGAAGGAACAGCTAAATGTTTTGCTAAGCGCAAATGTCGAGAACAGCTGAACCGATTTCGCTAATTGTTTTTTTGTTAAGTTTGTCATGTTTAGGAGCAGGTTCTTATGTAACAAAGTTTGCGGGGTCCACTAGTTGCTAATAAATATTTATCCTCAGAAAGGCGCAACTATTGTTCTGCTTGTTATCCTTATCATAAGTTTGTTTGCAATTACCTACCTCCATGCACCATTAATAATGAAGTGTTTGTTTTTGTGCAATCACTTAAAACAAGCCGTTATTGGTTTATCTTTAGCCCTGAAAGAATCCATACCTGATCATCTTATCCTTATCTACCACAGCCTACAATTAATTATAGACATTGCAAATGTATGCTATCTGAATATGTATTTTTATTAATGTTTTACTTTGAAAATTGGCATTTACTTTTTTATACCACGAGTTCACGACGGTGGCAGAAAAAACACACGGTCTTCCTAATGGTAACTGGTTACCATGGCCTATGAACGTTTGCAACACGTGGGGCATTACTTGCGCCTTGCCGACCCTTAACAAACCTATTTATTCCTCGAATAACGTCATACTTACCTCTGACCGAACCAAACTCTTGTAGTGGCTGGTAACCAAAAAGCAATTTAATCGATTGTATAACAATCCATTTAATCAGTAAACAATGTAGATACCCTATATCTCTGTAATATAGGCGCGGCCACAATATTCAATATCGAAGCCTAAAATAGACCTTCTTGGAAGTTTGGTGCGGCGGGAAAATTGCCACCTTTAATTAAAATACTCTACGTGAAATGCCACCTTTGCGCCATCTGCGTCATTGCATCACGTCCGAGGACGGCAAGAATCCGAGTGAATGACTTTCCCTATTCGTCTATTGTTCCTCTCTGTGAAGTTATTTCTCCATTAACTCTGTTTCCGCCGTACTTCACAGTGAGAGACATGCTTAGTTATTAGACAGATATATCGAACAATAATCAGGCTTTTCATTTTGTGATAAAATTATTAAAACTACACACTACTTCTTTAGGGCTTAACCACCTTTATGGTTACAACCCCTCTTGTTATTGAGTAAGTTAGTCTTGCCATTTTTTTCTGTTCAACCGTAGAACCTTTTCGAAAGAAGCATTTCTTCATTCCAACTTGCAAGCTCGTATCTGTGTTATGTTTTCGTTTTACTATATACGCACCGAAGGCCGAATCCTTATGTAAGTTTTTAGAGTCACGACGCTAATGGATCCTAATCTATAATATTTGCTTTTAAATTATTATTACTTTAGCGCGTATGACTTGATAAAAGTACAATTCCAATTTATTTAGCAGCCTGTCATAAACATATTTTTATTTGAAAACATATCATATCAATATCTTTGAGGTCTATAAAGGATTCATGAAAAATGGTTCCATGATAAAAAGTCCATCGTTGTAAAAATATTATTAGGTAAACTAGTTTATCGTTTGACACCAATGACCTAGTTTACCATAACTGGTGATGCAGTTTTTGTGTAAAAAGTATTTGTGTGGTATTCTCTGAGAATCTGTATAAAAGTGGTTCATTCTCTTGGATATCGACTTTTCCTACACACGCCTGTAGCATGCATAATGAGTTCACGTCGCCGCCATTTATATTCCGACTTGTTGCTTGCTGGGAATACGCTGATCCCTTAATGACATGTTCCTTGCGATGTAGAGAATATGCAGTGTAATCATACATGCAGGCAAGGCACCGTTAGATGTGGGAAGTGACTCGTGAATTTTGAGCTAAATTAATTAGGATACTTTACGCTTTATCAAATACTTAGTTACAAAGATAAATATTTGATTATATTAGATGTTTATCTATCTGATAGCGCCACTCTATATACGGCCAAACATCTGCTACCAACCAACGATATCAATTCCTTTAAAAACATCGTTTTATTATACGAAAACGGTCATTCTAGAGACTTTTCCAATATTTAAACTGATTGTATTCAATGGTAATAATAACACAGTGCATGCACACGATACGATAACTTTATGAAATCTAAAAAGAATGTAATTTGCGATAAGTATCGCTAATAGTCTGATTCGCGATTGGCAGTCAGCCAATCAATCGTAACCGCCCGCCATCATTCAGAACTGTACGGTCATGTTGTGACGGATAGGAGTTAGATTGTGAAGCTAGTCCACTGTTGTTAGGTCAGCAAAACCTCTACGGAAGATCTCCATAATTAACATTGCGATAAACAAAGGGTGCATCTAATATGGAATACTACTAAAACGTAAATCGCTGTATTCAAACAGTTTAGGTGTCCGACTGTTGGCAATTTAGTAGTACCTACTGGCCACGATCTGGCAGTAAAGAGTGTATTTTAAACCGAAATCAACAAGAAATATATTTTTAAACTCTTTCGTGTTTTGTGCCAGAACTGATGTGAATATAGTACTTAAACAGTTAAACACTATCTACCTACGTTAGATTTACTTCGGTTTTCTCAAGTGAAATAAATCGCAGAGCAGATGCAATGGCGTACCGGAAATTGAGGAATTTGAAATACGTTTTTGCACACTGCTATGAATGAAATATCCAAGACGTTTATAAAAATGACGTCAGCGTCATACAATGGATATCTATAACCGAACGTTATTTCCTTCATAGTCCCGAGGGATCGGGAACCTTTTGCAGACCTGTAGATAGTATGTGTAGATAACTCCTAGTAAACAAAAATTAAAGATATCTAGACTATTTCCGGAAAACTGAAACGTTACTCAATTTTAAATAGCGCTTAAGTATACTTCTGTCTCCACAAATTCTTTGTGAAATGATAGAGATAGCACGATATTTAAGCACGACTTAAAATTGAGTAACGTTTCAGTTCAGTATTCCAGCATATATAGTGTTTTAATATATCATTTATTGAGATTGAGATCATCTTCATGTTACGAAAATGCGTAGCCAGATAGATAGCTAGCAGGCGTCGCAAACAGACTGTAAATTGCAGTTTTATTTATTTTCATCATGGCTCAACTCACTAGCTAGGTACAAAAGTCATGCAATGAGCTAATTCGTCTCAGTCCGGAAAAATGAATTCGAGGAAAATACATCGTTGTTGTATCAGTTTGGACGTGTATTGTCATACATATTGTGACTAATGGCTCTACTTAATGATTGTGACTTTGTTTAAACAGTTTTTCTATTTCACGAGGTAGTACCTATTAAATATATGTGATGTTAAGAATTTGGCGTTGACTATTCTTTAGTCTTTACGTACGTCAATCGTTTTACATCATATTATAAAATACACATACATACATACATACATAGGTATAGGCAACAAATATTTAAAATCGACCTTATAAGTTAAGCAACAGTTACGTTAACAGAATTGAAAACTAGTTCAATGGTAGCAAAGTTAACGAATTGCGTCGTGAGTCGTGACCTTGAAGTGTTGCATGATACTTATTAATAATGATGACTGCTCCAGTCCACTTGTCGTCTGTATATATATAATATCCTTAATTGGTCGCTATACTATACCTACCATAATTTTGACGAGGTTGCTTCATTATCCAAAATACACTGAATGTAACCTGCAAATCAAACATGGCTGCCTTGCCGTCAGCCTGACTAACTAAAGTGAGTAATGCGCTTACCTCATACTGTATAATGTGCTATGGTTACGGTAACCATATGTTTATCAGTCCGCGTACAGCTTAGGTTCAGTTTAAGATAACAAATCTAGTGCTTGCATTATGTAAGTAAATTCCTCCGTTCCTCGCACATCGTTGCGTTGCGTATGTAGGACGTATTTTTTTTAAGGGGGCAAAGTCATCGAATGACTTCTCCCGCCTGGGTGAAGCGGGAGGGAGTGTCAGACTCTTACTGACTAAAAACCACCCCGTTCCTTCTCCTGTACGTCGAGCCGGAGCCCCGGTTACCCGTTAGGTTCTCATGTAAGACGTATAGGACTTAGTCACTATAGCTATTCATTAGTTCTTTCAGAACTTTAACTTGCACAGACCACGCTGTACTTTATGACATTTTTATCTGATTATCATTATTTTGGAACATTATGATGCGGTCACATCTGCCGTCAAATCAGCTAAGCTAGTTTATAGGATGTCAATTTGAACTCTCGAAGTGAGCTCGATCGCGGTCCGCCTTGTCATTGGTTGTGATAATAATCTCGACCAATAACGGGTGAATATGCGACCGAGCTCACTTCCAAAGTTCAAATTGCAGGTACAGAATAGCCAGCCCAGCCAGATCCGACGCGACGGCAGATGTGAAGGTATTATGTTATCAATGTAATGTTGCTAAATTTACCTTTATGACATTTTTTTATAAGCAACGAAACTATACAGAGGACTAAGTGTCTCTAAACAGCCTTTTAGGTGATGTTACAAATCCATTAGAGTAACTGTACTATAATAAAACATTACTAACTGTATTTTATTTGCTCGTAAATCTGAATATTTTGCTGCGTAGAATTCTCCTTATATGACATATTAAAGGTATTGAATTTTCATGGTCAAACTAGGCATCTAATAATCTTTTAAATATTTATCTGATTTAACCTGAATATTCTGACAAGGATAGCAAGAGAATCTGCTTTAGGCATGGCCCGTGGGTACCTACCTGCTGTCTCGAAATCAATTAAATTATTTGATTTGGCTACAGTTCCGTGTGAAGCATAGATTTGTTTACATAACATACACAAATTACAAACCGTGGTAGTGCCACAAATTTTCCGCGTTTGATGTTTTGGTAAAATATCTAAACCAAATTACCTATCATCAAAATGTACATGTACCTATAGGTCCGTGCCATATCGAAGTTTCACACTCTTAACTCGCACATTTAAAAAAAAAATTCTTACAATCATTAATGTAAAATAACTCTTATAACAATGGCAATAAGGTGTCATTATAGGTTGACCGATAATGTAAATATTTGGTCCACAGTCTACGGTCATGCCCGTAGGTAGGTATGCAATAAAATCGTGATCTAAGAAGTAGCTGACCTTGGTTTACCTTGACCAACTCATGTATTAACTTATTGAGTTTACAATCGTAGACGCTGGCTTTGTACATAACAGAAGTACATAGATATTATATAGGATGGTGACTCAATGTCATTAGTGTAGCAATTACTTAATCGGCACCAGACACACGAACTAATTAAACACACCTTTTTAAGCATGTGTTAACTCTAAGTAATTAAAGGGTAACTTATAACCAGTACAACACCGCCTGTGGCAGCGTTCTAACTGAAATATTGGTTATATATGTGAATATGCAAGGTGCACGTACCTACTCTGTTACCCACACCGGATGTAGATTCTGAGTCTGACCTTCTCGGTTAGGTGCAACCATAATTGGTGGAACAAAACATTAAGCGAGACAGACTGATCTCCATCTACCATTATTTATTTTTATTTAACTATGAATTTAAATGATGTCTTTTACATTTTCAGGTAAGGGCTAAGCGCACCGATTTGAAGTCTAAGAAACGTATCAAGGATATAGGCGTAGCGAACCAGTGCGACAGTTCTGTAGCGGTAATCGTGGGCGGCGGCCCCTCCGGAGCCACCTGCGCTGAAACACTACGCAGCGAGGGCTACAAGGGACGCATCACCATGGTTGCTAAGGAGAACTACCTCCCATACGACAGAATTAAGGTCTCAAAGATCGGTGCCGTCACAGATATAGAAAAACTACAAGCAAGGTCTCAACAGTATTACGACGAAGCTAGCATCGAGGTAATCAAGGGGGTCGACGCTACTAAAGTCGACACCCAAGAGCATATTGTACACTTGAGCAATGGAACCAAACTACGCTACAATTCGTTGTACTTAGCTACTGGCTCCACTCCACGTGTGCCAGATATCCCTGGCATAGATTTAAAGAACATCTTCACAGTTAGAAACTTTGATGATTCTGTTAACATTCTGAACACGTTGGGTACCAACAAAGATAAGGATGTTGTGGTATTGGGCTTGAGCTTCATAGGATTAGAAAGTGCGGCCTCTTGTAACGATAAAGCCAAGTCGATGACTGTAGTTGGCAAAGACACTACTCCGCTTGGACAAATATTCGGCCACGAGATAGGAAGTAGTTTACAAAAATTGTTCGAAAGTAAAGGCGTCAAATTCCAGTTTAATACCACTGTTGTCAAATGTAATGGTGAAAATGGTGTGATAAAATCTGTAGAATTGTCCAATGGCACCACACTTCCTGCTGATATGTTGATAATAGGCGTGGGAACAACATTTAATACGGGTTTCTTGAGCGATAGCGGAATTAAAATGGAGGGAAATGGTGCGGTTACCGTAAACGATAAGTTAGAAACCACTGTCAAAAATGTGTTTGCGGGTGGCGATATCGCTTGTGCGCCCGTGTACGCTCATGGCAATAAAAATTTGAGCATCGGGCATATCGGCTTAGCTCAATACCATGGCCGTATTGCTGCTTTGAACATTTTAAAGAAAGATACGCCATTGAAGACGGTTCCGTTCTTCTGGACTCTATTATTCGGAAAATCTATCCGTTATGCTGGTTGCGGAAAACCAGCAAGTACTCAGATAGAAGGAGATGTAGATGGTCTTAAGTTTGTTATCTTCTTCTTTGATGAGGCTGAAAAAGTAATAGCTGTTGCTTCCTGTATGAGGGACCCAGTGGTCGCTCAGTACGCTGAGTTTGTGCACCAAGGTAAAACTCTCTACAAGAAGGACCTCAAAGACGATCCTTTTGCGTGGACGAAGAGCAATTAGTCAATATTTCCATTATATTATCTATTAGATTAGCAAATAACCGTTGTATTTATTATGATGTCAAGAAACTTATTCATATATCTTCTTAGAAGTTTAAGTACCTATCCGGTAATATTATATACCTAGAGTTATTTATGTGTAAGTTTATTTACGCTTTTAGTAGTATGTACCTATTTATGCGTTTATTTTGCTGTCTGTTTTAAAAATGCTTGAATTGTGATTATTGTTCAGTCACATATAAAATAATTCTAAGGGCCGTACAGACACATGATATAAAAATTAATCATTATTGGTTATAAATATTACTCTGTGCAGTTATTTTGATATGTTTCGAATTTACTAAGTATTAATAGTGTTAGAAACTCGAATTTACGTTTTTAATGAGATTATTTACTGAAATTAAGACAAATTTAAATCGTGGCCTTATAAAATATTTGTTTATGTAAAACTCATCTGCACAATATAGATTCATTCTTATATTGAACATTTTAGGGGACCAACCACACGCCATAATAATTATTTTTCTATAAATTGTATACCTAAGTGAATTTTACATATTATGCATGTAAACACAGTTGTATATTTATTTAAGTTTGAGTTATTGCTTGCCTTTTCCTCTAATAATTTTATTTTTGTCAAGTGTCATCAATACCAAGTACATAATTCATAAAAATTTCCAACCGGAAAAATTATACAAAATGTTTGTGAATACTTTTGTTAGTCACAATTTTATTAAATTTTGTAAGCTCACAAGTACTTAAAACATTGTATTAAGGTAGGTAAAGTACAGAAAAATATAAAGTACAAAATGCTATTTCTACTCCGACTTTCCACGCATAGCAGAAATACCGAGACTCATTATTTTAGATAAGTTGTCATTATTTATACGAATTTAAAAAAAGTTTTATTGAGTAGTAGGTCACAGATGTTCCACAAAAAAAATATTTTCTGTAGACCAGATGTTTCACTGCAATATTATTAAATAACTCAGGTATTGTTTGAAGTTATATATTATTAAATATGATCTTGATATATTATCATTATAAAAATATGTAATTTATAATCAGTTTCAGTATGCAACCTTATTATTATTTACTAGTGATGTGCCGCGCTCTTTTTTATAGATATCGATAGACACTATTGTTACAATAAATGGTGCATATAATGGGCGTATTATGAATGCTTTGAGCGTAAGTTGCTTTCGTATTGGTCTGCCATAGCAGATTATTATATATTTAATATTGTGAAGCCAGTGAATTAATTACTCCCAAATGAAAATGACAGACACTGTTGTACTTGCACCTACTACTAATAATAGAAGTATATATATAGTGTGAAAATCAGTTTATATAACTTCTAAACACTCTGGTAATTTTCATACAAGGGACAATAAACAGACTTTTTCAAAATCTAAATACTGTGAAATGTGTATTTAGCTGCTTGATATTTTTGCAATAAACAATATATTGATTGATGTGATATTATAAATTGTTGCCTATTTAGATATATGTACATATTTTGAAAAATAAAACATGTTTATGAAAAAATGGTCTTTTCACTTTATTGAAACTACAACTGACCGTACCTTGTCATATTTTTTATCTTCAATAGTTAAGAAGTGTCTGAAAACTAGACTTTCATAATGCTGTAACACACTTCTAGTTCTCAAAAAAACATAGAATCTTAATTTTCTGAATGAATATTACTCTGCCTATCCCTTCAGACAAACAGGTCCAAATTTGTTATGGCGAGTGTCTTTTCCACATGTTCTTGTCTACACCTACTATAAAACTGGGTGAATTGGTTTTGAGAGTAGAATAAAGCCAGCATGTTTCTATTGACCTCGCAAAACAAACACCCTGTTTTATATTACTTATGAAGGAAACCTATAACCATGACTTGTTTATGGTATTCAAATTAGAATAACAACAATACAAATTGTTTATTAAATTTTATTAATAATTTTTACTACATTAAATAACCTATGTACACTAAACTACATGATTAGGAGTTACTCCCAAGATTCCTTCACTCTGAGATGTTGTAGCCTCTCATATAAAGTAACATCTTGTTTGAAGATCCTTCTTTGATTGTCTAACAGTTTCTCTTTCCTCATTTCTGGTTTACCAAGGGCTTTAGTGTGGCCACTGCTTTCAGCCTGGAAATAAAGTTAGGTTCAGTTTTGGTTAGAAAATACCTAAATGGACTGGTAGATGTTGTGTTACTTTGGATATTAGTTCATTTAATTTATCATTTACATTTTATAATACTTACTTCTGTGAGGTACGGAAACCGTAAATAAAACATATTTTTTTCCTCTATTGCAAAATCATCTTGAATTTTCTTGAGATGTTTTGGTTCAACTTTTTTTACTAATCGATCTTTTCCTCGAAACAAATGTCCATTTGGTAAGCGATTTCGTCGAAACAGTACAAGCGACAGCTTCATCTTGTAAGAAAGAAACTTGTTGTATTATGAAACTTACAAGAATAGAATAGGAAAATATTTGCAATTTTTATAGAAAAATTTGACTTGACTTCACTTTGACAGATTGACTCGACTCGACTCAGTTTTATTTTTTTAGGTTAACCAATACATAGAGCTGGGTCATCATAGAAGAAATATTAGGAAGCCTGGCTTTTTTAAAGCCAGGTTTCCTAATATTTCTTCTTTTTGTTAGTTATTTTTCAAACTTAATTTCTATTACAATAAATATCATATACCTACATAAAATTACAAATCTACCTCCAGTCATAAATCATTTAAAAAATACACCTACACTCACAGTTCACACCTCTATATTCTCCTCTAGTCTATGGTCAGAATGGCTGTCGATCGAGCGTAGGGGTGTCGTATTGTCGTAAATAAATTGTGTGAAAATCAATTAATTCCTCATGTAATTTAATTGTTGATCGGGATACGATTATTTTGTAAGCATGAGATCCCGGGGCTGACAATCAAATTGTATTGGAGCAGTCTCCAGGATTGGTGAGTAGTTTTAATTTCTTCTAACTAGACTCTTGTGGATATTTGTATTTTAGAGCTTCCCGATAGTTGTAATAGAATATTAATATGCCAAACAATATTAGTGTACGAATGTTTTAAACACTTCCTTGCGCTGAATTAAATTTGCTGTTATACTTACAATACAATGAGACATTTCATTTTGGTACCCTTTCACTTTATTGTGTACATTATTTTCGTGCTCTACTTATTTCGAGCTCGCTCTTTTTTATTATATTCTTATATTTTTTGAAGAAACTTTTCTAATCCGTTATTTAATAATTACTACGACGGTATGTAACTGAAGTTTTGTCACTTAGTAATTGTTTAGTACTTTATAATGCTCTGGTGTTATTGTATCTAATGTAAAATGACCTACATAAAAATACTGTCGGTAAATTTACAATTAATACTTTGGGAAGCTTTTCCGTAATTTTATAAACTTCCTCCAAGCATCCAATCCAAGAATGTTATTCCATTTTTTTCCTCTATACATGTGAAATAATTTAACATCCCAGTGTACTGTTATGACATGAGCATTATATTACAATAACAATTATATTTTTGTGCGTTTCTAAAAATAAAAACACTTGCAATATACCAAATACATCATTCAAAATTATACTTTAAAAACATGAACTTAAATAAATCCTTTTTGGAAAAGGAAGTGCATAAGTATTATTGTTGATAACACTGCTTAAATGCATACAAGTGTGATGTACTGATAAATTATATTTATTTAGTAAATAAGTAAATAGGCTTTTAAAATTCAATATTTTTATATTCGTTGAGGCCAGTATTTCCTGTCCTGACTATTCTGAGAATAAACATAAAAATACTCTTGGAATCAGAGACGTATGAAGGATTTTTTTTAATGACAAATGAAATAATGCACCCGACGCTTGATTTGGTTTTTGGTTAGATTAGCGCTGTTTTGTTTTGTTTCCTAGTAAGGAATGGGCAATATTTTTAAATCATTCGTTCTTTCGCATCACTCAGCAGGAATAAAACATTATTGTTTAATTATGGTCATGGTACGAAATACAATAATATTGTTTTAAGCTTGAAACAAAACTTTCTTATTATAAGATTGTTTCATAAAAGATTGTGGTAGGCCCCCTGTTCTATTTGTAAAAAAGTAAAGTAAGGTAGTAGTTACCTACCTATCTACCTACCTGCAATCTAAAACATGAGATGTTAGATTAACTCGTTGAGTACTGTCATTATAGACACAATTATAGAACAATAGGTTGCGGTCACCGGTGACTGCTTGGTGTTTGACAGTTTAATGTGCTTTTTCAAATAAGACCAACATTAATAGAATTTCAGAATTTATTGTGTACTTGTAGATTGCATTTTAGTATAAAAAGCATTGCATTTATTTAAAAAAAAAAACTTTACTGCAATCTAAATAATAGAAATGATGAAGTATATTTGAAATAAGCATGTATATTAAGAGTTTTCATGTGTTACAAATTTTGCTATAGAGTTTCATGTCTTATACAATTTGGATTACATGTTTTTTATTTAATTTGTTGTATACATACATATACAGTCAGTCAAGCTACGAATTAGTAGCCACGGAGGGCTTAATAGGTTGCCAGGACTCCAGTTCGAAGCATAGAAGGAGGAAGTAGAAACGAGGTGGTTTTTAGTTAGTAAGAGTCTGGCACTCTCTCTCGCCTCACCCGGGCGGGAGGTCATTGGAAGATTTAACCCCTCAAAAAACCTACGAATTAGTATGCAGGTAAGTAAATAAGGATAGATTCAGTAAAGAGACAGTAACTAGGTTTGCTACTGAGTCAAACATTAGATAGAAAAAGTATGGCTTTGTTAAAATTCATACAATTAAGTATACTAGCTACTGCTACCTATAGCTAAATAACTTGACTGACTGTACATCAATAACATTATTAATTTATCAAAATACATAACTTTGTTTTGTATAATGAAAAAGTAATGATTCAGAAAAAAGATAATATTTTATAGCAATTAGTATTAACCATATGCATACTTATAATTATACAGAAATTAATGTATTTAAAACATTATGTACTGGTTAACTCGTTGAGTTCATTATAGACACAATTATAGAACAATAGGTTGCAGTCACCGGTGACCGCTTGGTGATTGACAGTTTAATAAAGTGTTCTAAGATTGTACATACATTATACATTAGGGTCGAAGTTGACTGGTAAAAAACAAACATGCCATTTAATCTGAAAATTCTCATCCATGTTTATAAACAGTTATACATAAAGTTAACAAAATAGACATCATCATTATGTATTGTTTCATATGCATGTGATAATTTCCAAGTATCTATTCTCAAAATACATACATTGGCAGCAGAACAAAATATTCAATTTTCAACTTTATGTCAAAACAATAAAATTTAAAACCTAACAAGGAAATTTGACAGGTGCAGGTTGATCTGCTGGCTAATTTACACATAAATTATTTTAATAAAAAAAAATACTTTTTTCCGATTTAAATAATAGAAATGATGAAGTATATTTGAAATAAGCATGTATAATAAGAGTTTTCATATGTTACAAATTTTGCTATAGAGTTTCATTTAGTTTCATGCTTATACAATTTGGATTACATGTCACACCCAGACCTAGAGCAACAATTTTTTTTCTATCCAAGCCTATCACTAGGTGGTATAGTATAGCCTATCATAGCCTATAATAGTATAGCCTATCACTAAATAGTATAAAACAAAGTCGCCATCCGCCATCTGTCTGTCCCTATGTAGGTATGCTTAGATCTTTAAAAATACGCAACGGATTTTGATGCGGTTTTTTTTAATAGATAGAATGATTCTTATGGAAGGCTTATATGTATAATACATGCATATTGCACCCGTGCGAAGCTGGGGCAGGTTGCTAGTTTTTTTATAATACACTGTTCAGATCTTCAGGTTAATGCCCCATTTATGTCCTTAACCATTTCTATTTACTGTTTTATTTTATGCAATGTTAGCGTTAGCGTGAAACACGTGGCTGCTTGTAAATTTCAATTGATTCAAATTGATTTTTAATATAACTTTAAAACAAAGCTTTAAAATCTTGTGATTTATTCTATCTGTCAAGTACCTAATGGAAGGTCAGCAGAATTGGTAGCGGAATGGTGAGCGAAACTTGCCAATACGTCATATACCGAGGCCCCAGCATAGTACAGGAGTCAGAAGTCATATATGATCCTTTAAAAAAAAAAAGGTAGTAAAATTAACCATGTGTTAATCTCCACCGCATTGGTTGGGGTATCTAGACTGTAACCTAAAAACGCAAATCTGACTGCTATCTAGAATACAAATCAATCGCGTTATAATCAGAATTTTTTAGGTCCATTAACCAAGTTCCACTTCAGGTGAAGTTAAAATTGGCGAAAGTCTGCTTTAATTTGATTTGCAATGACCATTCATTTGTTTTGGATATAAATTTACTACTTAGATTGCTCAGTGCTAAGTAGCTAGGGTCTTCTTTTATGTTTTGTCACAGGACAAAAGACTTGAACCAAACTAGTTTACCTTTATCAAAGTTTGATAACTCTTTTTGAATATAAGCAGAACGATGCTGATCCGTATCGTCCGTTCACTTCGAGCCGAGATTAATTTGGGTATTTATTTGAAGTTGGTGTTTGTATCCGCGTCTTCACATACGGTAATTCTCCCACAAATGTTTGAGTATGTTATTATTATTATACAACTCAAAGATCACGTTCCATTGCCTTGTTATGAGATAAATTGCGGTCTGTTGTTGTAGTATTCAAATATCGTTCTCCGTTAAATATCTGCCGTCGCCAATCTAACGTGCCTACAAACATCTTTGTAGATGCATCCGAACCACACGGTGTCTATTCAATTTGCAAAAAAAGTATATTTGAATGAAAAAACCGGCCGGCATTCCATCTTCAGTTTTTTTGTCAGCTGCTAGTGGTATTCTATGATTTATATTTTATTTATAAAATTGAAAACGTTACTTCAATTTATTTATTTTCCTTCTTGATTGAATGTATCAATGTAGGTGTATTGTGTACATTTATTTTTTGCGCTGTGCGTTTTTATGTTGTGTAGAAAGTGCTAATAAGTGTTATGCATTGTTAAAGAGCCCCAAGACGTGATCAACCTGAGTGCTACCACCACATCTGAGCCGTTGATTTGCGTGGTATACAGTGAAGAATGGCGCAGGTCGGAGCTAATATGGAATACCAGGAGTATAAGTGGGCTTACTCAATCATGGACTCCTCCAAGTAAGTAAATAATTATATCTATGAGCTATAAACTATTTATAATTATTATATCGCTAGCCAAACAATTTACTTTTAATCACCGCGTGTTTGAGCTAGAAGCCAAACACTTGAACGATTTGGTGTACTTAAGAAGGCGCTAAAAAAACTCAAGTGTTTGCTTATTTATTCCGTCACTTGAACTAGGAATTTCCGAGATCAGCTCCACTAGATAGAACTGCTATGAGAACCGAGTATTTTGTAAGGTTCTTTTACGTTTTTGTTATTATAAAAACATTAGAACGTCTCTGGGAAAAAGAACAGAGTAAGTATAATGTAGTCAG